ACAAAATGGTGAGAGAGATATTTTATGTCATTCTCAGCTTGTATATCCTTAGCTCCTCCCCCACATGCTCTGTTAGCAAGCTCAATAAAGCTAGTTGAAGAGGGTGGGAAGGAAGCATGACTATAGCTTGTGGGTACCTATATCTTATAAGTTACTTCCAATGTTTTCTTCTAATAGTTTCAGAGGTTTCCAGTTTCACATTGAGGTCTTTGATCCATTTGGAGTTGACTTTTGTGCAAGATGAAAGATAAGGGTCTAGTTTCATTCTTCTACAGGTAGAGATCCAGTTTTACCAGCACCATTTGCTGAAGATGCTGTCTTTCCTCCATTGTGTGTTCTTGGCACCTTTGTCAAATATCAGGTGGCTGAAATTACATGTACTCAGATTTGGGTCTTCAATGATGTTCCATTGATCTACAGGTCTATTTTTGTGCCAGTACTATGCTGTTTTTATAACTATAGTTCTGTAGTATACTTTGAGATCTGGTATAATGATCCCCCAGTGTTGCTCTTTGTGCTCAGGGTTGCTTTGGCTATCTGGGGTCTTTTGTGCTTCCATATGAATTTAAGGATTTTTTTTTTCTAATTCTGTGAAGTATGTCATGGGGATTTTTATTTGGATTGCATTGAATCTATATATTGCTTTTGGTAGGATGGTTATTTTTCACAATTTAAGTCTTCCAATCCATGAGCATGGGAGGTCCTTCCATCTTCTGGTGTCTTCCTCAATCTCTTTCTTTAAAGATTTAAATTTTTCATTATAGAGATCTTTGGTGTCTTTGGTCAGGTTTATTCCAAGATATTTTATTTTTTTGTGGGTATTGTAAATGGGAGTGTTCCCCTATACTCTTTCTCTGATTACTTGTTATTGGTATATAGAAAGGCTACTGATTTTTGTAGATTAATTTTGTAACCTGCCACTTTATTGAAAGTGTTGATCAGTTCTGGGAGTTTTCTGATGGAACTTTTGGGACCTCTTAGGTATAGTATCATATCATCTGCAAAAGGGATAATTTGACCTCTTCTTTTCCAATTGGTACTCCTTTAATTTCCTTCTCTTGTCTTACTGCTCTAGAAGTTTCAAGTACTATATTGAAAAGGAGTGGAGATAGTGGTCATCTTTGCCTGGTTCCCGATTTTAATGGGAATGCTTCCAGTTTTGTTTTTTTTTTCCCATTCAGAGTGATGTTGGTTGTGGGTTTGTTGTACACAGCTTTGATTATGTTGAGGTATATTCCCTCCAGTTCAATTCCCTTTACAACTTTTATCAAGAGTGCATGCTGAATTTTGTCAAAGACCTTTTCTGTATTGATTGAGATGACCATATAGTTTTTGTCTTTGAATCCATTTATGTGATTGATGACATTTGTTGACTTGTATAAATTGGACTATCTCTGCATCTCTGGAATAAAGCCTACTTGATCATGGTGCGTGATCTTTTTGATGTACATCTGTATGCAATTTGCAAGTATTTTGCTGAGAATTTTTGTATCTATGTTCATTAAGGATATGGGTCTCTAGTTTTCCTTTTTGGTTGTGTTTTTACCTGGTTTTAGCATTAGACTGATGCTGGCTTCATAGAAGGAATTTGAGAGTTCTCTGTTTCTATAATTTTGAACAGTTTAAGTAGTATTGGTTGGAGATCTTCTTTAAATATCTGGTAGAATTCTGCTGTAAATCTATCAGGGCCTGGGCTTTTTTTAGTTGGAAGGTTTTGTATTACTGTTTTGATTTCCTTATATGTTATGAGTCTATTTAAACTGTTGATTTCTTCTTGGTTTAACTTTGGTGGTTCCCATGATTTTAGCTATCCATCCATTTTAGATTTTCAAATTTAATAGAGTATAGGTTTTTAAAGTATTCCCTTATAATGTTCTGTATCTTTCTGGTGTCTGTTGTGATGTTTCCCCTTTCATCTCTGATTTTGTTGAATTGGATTTGCTCTTTCTTTTGGTTAACTGGGCTAAGGGTCTGTCCATCTTGTTTAGCTTTTCAAAGAACCAGCTCTTGGATTCATTGATTCTTTGTATTGTTTTCTTTGTTTTTTTTCTAATTATTGATTGATTGATTGATTGATTGATATTTTTGAGACAGAGTCTCCCTGTAGCCCCAGCTGGCCAGGAACTTGCTATGTAGACCAGGCTAGCCTTGAACTCACAGAGATCCTCCTGCCTCTGCCTCCTTAGTGCTGAGATTAATGGTGCGTGTAACCACGCCTGGCTTGTTTGTTTTTATTTCATTAATTTCTGCTCTGATTTTTATTTCTTCTCTTTTGCTAGATTTGGGTTTCATTTGTTCTTGCCTTTTACAAAATCTTGAGATGCAATGTTAAGTCATTTATTTATACTCTTTCAGATTTTTTTTTTAGTGTAGGCACTTAGAGCTATAAACTTCACTCTTAGGACTGCTTTCAAAGTGTCCTGGAAGTTCTGTTGTGTTGTTTGTCCTTTTTGTTGAGTTCCAAGAATTCCTTTATTTCTTTCTTAATTTCTCCTTTGACCCACTCATCATTCAGGACTGTGTTGTTTAATCTCCATGAGTTTGTGTAGTTACTAGGGCTTTTTTCCAGTGTTGATTTTAAGCTTTATTGCATTGTGGTCTGATAGAATGCATGGGATTATTTCAATTTTTTGTGTTTGTTGAGGTTTATTTTATGCCCCAGTATGTGGTCAATTTTTGAGAAAGTTCCATGGGGTGCTGAATAGAAACTGTATGCTTTTGTGCTTGGGTGGAATATTCAGAAGATGTCTGTTACATCTATTTGATGTATGGTATCATTTAATTCAGACACCTTTCTGTTTATTCCTTGTCTGGTTGACCTGTCAAATGGAGACAATGGGGTATTGAAGTCCCCTATTATTACTGAGTTGGGGTTAATCTGTGTCTTAAAGTCCCTGTATTGTTGTTTTTATGAATTTTGGTGCACCAGAGTTTGGTACACGTATGTTCAGGATTGTAATATATTCTTGTTAATTGTTCCTTTGATCAGAATGAAGTGATCTTCTTTATCTCTTCTCATTAGTTTTAATTCAAAGTCTATTTTGTCAGATATTAGAATTGGAACCCCTGCTTGTTTCCTAGTGCCATTTGCTTGGAATATTCTTTTCCATCCTTTCACCTTAAGGTAGTGCCTGTCCTTGAAGGTGACACAGGTTTCTTGCAGACAGCAAAAAGATGGATTTTGTTTCTTAATCCATTCAACTAGCCTATGTCTTTTGACCAGGGTGTTCAGTCCATTGATATTTGAAGTTATTACTGAAAGATGTATATTGGTTGCCATCATTTTGATTACTGTTTGCATTCATTGTCTAATTTTGTGTTCCCATAATTATACCTTCATTTAGTTTCTTTCTGTTGTCCCTGGGGTATGGTTATTCCTTTCTCCATTCTTTCTATTGCTTCAAGTATTCTTTGAAGGGTTGGTTTTGTGGACATGTATTCTCTCAGGCTATCCATGTTGTGGAAGATTTTTCTTTCCCTTTCAACTATAATAGACATTTTTGCTGGGTAAAGTATTCTGGGCTGACATCTTTGGTCATTGAGAACTAGAGATACCTTGGTCCAGGCTGTTCTCGATTTCATAGATTGCATTAGTAAGTCAGCTGTAATTCTGATGGGTTTTCCTTTATATGTGAGTTTTTCTTTTGCAGCTTTCAGTTTTTGTTCTTTGTTTTTTACATTTGGTGTTATTACTATGATATGCCGTGGTCCTATTTGGTGTTCTCTGTATTTCTTGTATTTGTATGGGGATGTCTTTCCTTAATTTTGAGAAATTCTCTTCTACAACCCTGTTTAATATCTGGTCAATACTGTTAACCTGAAATTCTCCTTTCTCTATGCCTGTGATATGTAGATTTGGTCTTTTCATGGTGTCCCACATTGCCTGCATATTCCATTCCTGTGCTTTAAAAAATTTTTCATAATCTTTGCTTGAGTGGCCCAGTTCTTCAACTTTATCCCCCAATGTTGATATTCTGCTTTCCATTTCATTCATTCTAGTGGTGAGGTGTTCACCTGTTGTTTCAAGTTGACTTACTGAGTTTTTTACTTCCTTCTTAATTTCAGCCTGAGTTTTCTTCAATGTTTCTGTCTCTTTTGTGAATTCATTCAGAAGTTTATCCCTATATTCTTTTAGTTCTTTGATTTGTTTGCGTATTCTTTAAATTTCTTGAATTCCTTGATCATGTTTATGATTGTTCTTTTAACTTCTGTGTCCTAGGTTATCTCTAAGGGTTTCTTGTAGAACTCTTCTACAGGACTGATGGAGTTTGGTGGGAACATATTGTTTTGGTTTTCCATTTTATTATTTTTTTCATTTTCATTTTGGCATGTGGATTTCTTTTATTGTTTGTGATTCTGGTATGAAAATCAAGTGTTCTTTTGTGTGAAGTTTGCTTCTGTTTGTGTTATTGGTGTGCCTTGGTTGTTTTCTTATTGGGTATATAAAGCTAGTTGATCTAGGTTTCAGGTTCTCTCAGATTTTATATTGGAGAGAACTGATGGCTTCAGATCAGCTACTCAGGAGCTCCTACCAGAGGCCCTCCAGTCAGGTACACTCAGGCTTCCTTCTAATGTTTGGACCCCTACTAACGGGTACTTAGAGCACAATTTGGGAAGTTCCCTAAGGGGAGGCCTGATTTTGGCACTCTCAGGCAGTCTGCTAAGGTCTCACTCAGCCTTACCCCACTGTAGGGCAGAGAGGTCTGCCTCTGGGGCAGTGGGAGGAGCCTCTCGTAATCCCAGTTAGGGGCTTGGGTATGGCGCAATTTGGGGAAGCTTTGCGCTCACCACCACATGGAGGCCGGATCCAGGTGCTCTCAGGTGGTCTGCTGAGTTCTTAGTCCCCACATCAGGCGGAGGCCAGATCAGGTGCTTTCAGTCCTTCCATGGATATTGTATTCTTAGTCCTGACTGCTTCAGCTGCGTTTTCTCTAAAATTCAGTGGTGAACAGTTTTCAAATTATCATGTGACAGTAAGCAACCGTTTCTTTTTCTGCCAGGTGCTGACTGTCTTTTTGAAGTAGATTGTCCATGGCCTGAACATTTCTTGAAAACAATTTTGTGCAAAGCATCTGCCTAATGAGATAAACACATCAAGATGGTTGGAAAGCTGAAGCAGAATCTACTCTTGGCATGCCTGGTGATCAGTTCTGTCACAGTATTTTACCTGGGCCAGCATGCTATGGAGTGCCATCACCGCATAGAGGAGCGGAGCCAGCCAGCCAGATCGGAGAACACCAAGACCACTGTGCGAACCAGCCTAGAGGTCAGAGCTAACAAGACCTCCATCTACCACAAAGACATGCCATTAATATTCATTGGAGGTGTGCCCAGGAGTGGAACCACACTCATGAGGGCCATGCTGGATGCGCACCCTGACATCCGCTGTGGAGAGGAAACCAGGGTCATCCCTCGAATTCTGGCCCTGAAGCAGTTGTGGTCCCGGTCCAGTAAAGAGAAGATCCGCTTAGATGAGGCTGGTGTCACCGATGAAGTGCTGGATTCTGCCATGCAAGCCTTCCTGCTGGAGATCATTGCTAAGCATGGCGAGCCAGCACCTTATTTATGTAACAAAGACCCTTTTGCCCTGAAATCCCTGACTTACCTTGCTAGGTTGTTCCCCAATGCCAAATTTCTCCTGATGGTTCGAGATGGCCGGGCATCCGTGCATTCGATGATTTCTCGAAAAGTTACTATAGCCGGGTTTGACCTGAACAGCTACCGGGACTGTCTGACCAAGTGGAATCGAGCCATAGAAATCATGTACAACCAGTGTATGGAGGTTGGTTATAAAAAATGCATGTTGGTTCACTATGAACAGCTGGTCTTACACCCTGAACGGTGGATGAGAACGCTCTTAAAGTTCCTCCACATTCCATGGAACCATTCAGTACTGCACCATGAAGAGATGATCGGGAAGGCTGGGGGAGTATCTCTGTCAAAGTGAGTAGATACTATGTTTTCTTTTTAAACTATATTCAGCTAATAGAGATGTGTAAATGTGTGTATATGTGTGTCATGTACATGTATGTGTGTGTATGCATGTACCTGTGCATGTGTGTGAGCATGTATGTATATGTGTATGTATATGCTTTTTACATATAATTAAAAATTATTTTTAATTATATGTATGAGTGTATTGCCTGCATATGTGTAAGTGCACCCATGTTGTGCAGTGCCCACAGAAGTCAGAAGATGGCATCAGATCCCTTGGAACCAGAATTATGAACAGTTGTCAGTCACCATGTGGGTGTTGGGATTTGAACCTGGGTTCTCTGCAAGAGCAGCCAGGGCTCTTAACTGCTGAGCCATCTCTCCAGCCCCTGTATATGCTTGTTATGTATGTGCAAGTGAGACCTTTTCTGGAACAATAGATACAGTTTCACTGGTGAGGCATCTTTTATTAGTTCTCAACCAGTTCATTATTATGTACTCTATCTATCTATCTATCTATCTATCTATCTATCATCTATTTATTTATTTATTATTTGAGACAGGGTCTCCCTGTAGCCCTAACTGGCCTAGAACTTGATATGTAGACCAGGCTGTCTTTGATCTCATAGAGATCTCCTGTCTCTGCCTTGGATTAAAGGTGTGTGCTGCCACACCCAGCTATTTATTTATTTATTTATTTATTTATTTATTTATTTATTATTTTTGGTCTTTTTGAGACATGGTCTCTCTGTAGCCCCAGCTGACCTGGAACTCGCCATGTAGACCAGGCTGGCCTCGAAGCCTCTGCCTCCCAAGTGCTGGGATTAAAGGCGTGCGCCACCATGCTTGGCATATGTATTTATTTTTAAAGATTTTCTTTTGGGGCTGGAGAGATGGCTTAGCGGTTAAGAGCATTGACTGCTCTTGCAGAGGACCCAGGTTCGATTCCCAGGACCCATATGGCAGCTATGAACCGTCCTTAACTTCAGTTCCAGGGGAATCTGACACCGTCTTCTGACCTCCATGGCATTGCATGACACAGGTGCACTCACATACATGAAAGCAATACACTCATACACATAAAATGAAAATAATAAATAAAATGTATTTTTTAAAAAATGCTTGAATCGTGATAACAACAGTGAGATTTATGGGTTTCCTTTACTCCAGCCCTGCTCACCATTCCTAACACCAGCTGGACTGAAATAACAGCCTGAAGTCTTGGTACTGGTTTTGTCCTGTTTGGTGGCTACCTGGAAGGCTGGTTCAAAAACTGTGTCTTTCCTTTTTTTTTTTTTTTTTTAATATCTTATGTATTATTTTTATTTTATGAGTCCATTGCCTGCATGTGGGTAGGTGCACCTGTATCATACAGTGCCAGAGGAGGGTCAGAAGAGGGTGTCAGACACCCTGGAACTAGAGTTACAAACGGTTGTTAGCTGCCATGTGGGTGCTAGGAATGGACCCCAGGTCCTCTGCAAGAACAGCCAGTGCTCTTAACTGCTGAGCCATCTCTCCAACCCCAGCAAAAGCCTTGTCTTTCTGTCACTGAAGCTGTTGAGAATGTGGAGGTCCCCAGTCACAAAATGTTCACCACGGTCTTATCATTGCTGCCTGAGCCAATAGATGCAGTGTGGGCAAACACCAGAAACCCTGAAACCCTGTCAGGACTCTGAGTACAGATGGCCGTGAGACTAGACAGAATGGTAAGCTGGCCTGGGGAAGACATCTGGCTGATCTCAAGGTTCACACAACATGTACCCCAATTACACAAAGAGCTCCTCTGTATTTAGGCATTTAAGCAACTCTATCCAGTTGCTAGCTAACCACTAATCTGACAGATACAGACTTGAGTGGCCACACATTTAAAAAAATGTACTTTGTAGAGTTGTTTTTGAAGAGTTTCTAAACAAACCACTACAGTAAGTCACAGCTACTGCAAACTGTGTGTGTGTGTGTGTTGGGGGGATGTGCCTGTGTGTTCACATTGCATGCATGTGGAAGCTAGAACTCAACTTTGGGTGAACTATTCATCCTATTTTTGGAGACAGTGTCTCTCATTAGCTTGGGGTTCTCTGGTTATTAGGCCACCCTGTCTGGCCAGTGAGCTTGTCTCTACCTCCCCAGCACTAGGATTAGAAGCATGTACCACCATACCTGGCTTTTCGTTCTGGGGACCAAACTCGGGTCCTTGCGCTTGCAAGGCAAGAACTTTACTGACTAAGCCATGCCCCAGCCCTTGAATAATTATTTTTTAATTAAAAACTTAAACCTAAATCTAATGATGCATCTGTTAGTTACTCTATTGGATTTTAGTCAGTATTTAAGTGCTTGGTTACATGTGTTATTCTTGAAGTCCAGAATGGTCTCTGCATAATTGTTAGCAACATTTAACCAAATTGTTTCTGTACTTCATGCTGGAGGGCCAAAGCAGAATGTGTTAGTGAGGGAACATCTGAGAAATGAGATGCTAGTGTTTTTACAACCACTTTAGGCCATAAAAAAAGAAATCAGATTTGTTTACTGAGAATGCAGGGCTGGCGACACACCAAAATGTTTCTCCACAGAGAAAATAAAACAACCAGAGGCAAAACCACACCGGAACTGCTTTTGTCCCCAGGCTGAGGAATAAAGAGTGTGACATGACCAGGATGTGAGGGAGTGTAAGGATAGGCCAAGGAAGGGAGGCCTTCTTTCTCCTTGGCTTTGTGTTAGCTGTTACTCTAAGTCTAGAAAAGCTTCTTGTTTCTGAAGAATGGAAGCAAACTTCCCCAGTTTCTTCATTTATTCAGTAGATAAGGAAAAGGAAATCATAGATATATAAAATATATGTTATGAAAATACATCTTTTGTTCATTTGAATCTGCAGTTACTGATTTCCAAGGTGGATGAAGAACAGCTTAAACAGGTTGATTAGCATCAAAGAGATGAAAGGTGATGAAGAGCTAGCATCTATAAAGGAACAGATGATTGACAACTGAATTGTTTGTAATTGTCAGAGAACAAATAGTCTAGTGTTACTTAAACTATTTCGGTCACTGAAAAAATATAGTGTCACAACCTATAATTTCAGCACATGGGAGATGGAGGCAGGAAGATCAAGATTTAAAGGCCGGACTTTGCTACACGGAGAGTTGGAGGTCCACCTGGACCATATGAAAGAATCTGGCCATTTTATGAATCATAATTTAATAACAGGACTCAATAGAAATTCCAGGAAAGGAAATTTCATATTAATTTCTTACACCTGGGACTGGAGAGATAAATAAGATATATTTAAAATAAATGTTTATACTTATCAGATACTCAAATCATAAGCATCAGTAATGAAAAGAATTGAGCTATGTATCAAAGATTGCTGAACTTGGGGTGGAGATGACTTTGCAGTTAACAGCATGCACTGTTCTTGGCCGAGGACCCAGGTTCTGTTCCCACCACCCACGTGCCAGCTCACAATCGCCTGTAATCTTCCAGCTCCAGAAGATCCAGTGCCCTCTTCTGACCTCTGAGAATTCCTGCATACACGTGGTGCACATAAACTCACACACCCTCACACATATACATATTAAAAAGTGCTAAACTATCATCACTATTATTTCATCAGCTGTCAACATAGCTTACTACATCAGTAAATTCAAGAGGAAAATCACCTGATGATACCACTCAGTGCTAAGAAGACTTTGTACTAAAATTCAGTCATTGCCGGGCGTGGTGGTGCATGCCTTTAATCCCAGCACTTGGGAGGCATAGGCAGGCGGATCTCTATAAGTTCAAGGCCAGCCTGGTCTACATAGTGAGTTCCAGGACAGCTGGGGCTACAGGGAGACCCTGTCTCAAAAAAGACCAAAAAACAAAAAAAAAAATTCAGTCATCACTGATACACTTTAAAAAAAAATTTTATTTATTATTTTGTTTTTTATGTGTATGTGTGTGTTCCCTGCATGTGTATAAGTGCATCTATGTCATGCAATGCCCTTGGCCTTGGAGGTCAGAAGAGGGCATTGGATTCTCCTGGGGTGCTGGCAATCAAACCTGGGTCCTCTGCAAGAACAGCCAGTGCTCTTTTAACTGCTGAGCTATCTCTCCAGCCCCTACTTTTTAAAAATTTTAAATTACATTGTGTGTGTGTGTGTGTGTGTGTGTGTGTGTGTGAGCAGGAGTGTGAATGTCAGAAAACAACTTGTGAGAGTTGGTTCTCTCCTTCCACCATGTGGGTCCTGGATATTGAATTCAGGTTATCAGGCTTGGTGGCAACCACCTTTTAAGAAGAAAGGAGGAGGGGGCTGGAGAGGTGGCTCAGTGGTTAAGAACACTGGTTGTTCTTGCAGAAGACCCGAGTTCAAATCCCAGCACCCACATGACAGCTAACAACTGTCTGAAACTCTAGTCCCAGGGGATCCAGTACCCTCTTCTGACCTCCACCAGCATTGCACGATACGGGTGCACTTACCTACATTCACGCAGTACACGCATACACATAAAATATAAATAATAAGTAAAATATTTGAAAAAAGAAGAAGAAGAAAGGAGGAGGGGGTTGGATGGCTCAGCAGTTAAGAATACTGACTGCTTTTTGCAGAGGACCCAGGTTCGATTCCCAGCACCCACATAGTGGCTAACAGCTGTCCATAACTACAGTTCCAGGGGATCCAGTGCCCTCTTCTGAGCTCTGTGGGCATTGCACAACATGGGTGCCCTTACATACATGCAGGCAGTACATTCATACACATAAAATTAAAATAATGAATAAAAAAAGAAGAGGAACAAAAACCCTAACTATGGTAGCAACTGTTTATTTGTTCTCTCACCATGCTTTTATTGAGCACTCTCTTAGATGCCAAGTAGTGTTCTCTGTGCTGAGTGACAGCAGCTAAGAAGATAAGCAAAGCAATCCCTTTCTTCTAGAATCTCATTAGCATTAAAGAACAATCCTATTAAATAAATAAAAGACAAGTTAAATCTGTGGTTTGTCAGATGGTAATAAGTACATATAACAAGAAATTAATGGATGATTACAGGGAGCTGGGTGTAAGAATTGTCAGGAAAGGCCTCATCTGTAAGGTAACGCTAAGTAGAGAACTGCAGGGCTGCAAGTGAACTAAACAGACAAGAAACAGCAAGGTAAAAAAATATATAAACTAAGAAAAACATAATAGAGGATTTAATGAAGCAGTAAAAAGAAAAGGCAGAGGAGAGAGCAGGTGTTCTGGACCAGCCTGGGCTACATACTGATACCCTGTCTCAAAAACAAAACAAAATACTGCCTGGCATGTTGGTGCACACCTTTAATCTCAGCAGGCAGATCTCTGAAAGATCCAAGTCAGCCTGGTCTACATAGCAAGATCCAGGCCAACTGGGGCTACATAGTGAGAAAAACCAAGTAAACCAAACCAAAACAATAATAATTTGACATGTCTTACAAGATATATATATGATGGTTTTTGACAGGGTCTCCCTCGTCCCAGCCAGCCTAGAATTTACTATGTAGATTAGGCTGGCCTAGATCTCACAGAGATTCGCCTGCCTCTGCCTCTCAAGGGGTGGGATTAAAGGCATGTGCCACCATGCCTGGCATAAATTATATTTTTAATCTATAATCTTCAAATGCTTAATTCCTTTCTTTTTTTTAAAAAAAAGGTTTTTCTTTTTTTTAATTATTTTTATTTTATGTGTATCTCTGTATTGCCTGCATGTAGATAGGTGCACCTATGCCATGCAATGTCTGGGGAGGTCAGAAGAGGGCATCAGATCCCCTGGAACTGGAGTTAAGAATGGTTCATAGTCGCCATGTGGGTGCTGGGAATTGAATCCGGGTCCCTTGCAAAAGCAGTCTGTGCTCTTAACCACTGAGCCATCTCTCCAGCCCCTGGTAGAATTTTTTTTAATTACATTTAAAAACGTGTGCGCATATGCCATGATGTGCATGTGGAGGTCAGACAACTTGTAGGAGTCATTCTCTCCTTCCACCATGTGGATCCTGGGGATTACACTCAAGTCATCAGGCCTGGTGGCAAGCACCTTTATGTATTCTCAGCCATCTCACTGTTCCTATACATGCATTTAAAAATCGTCTTCTACAGAACAAAACCTAAGCATTTTCTAATATTGAAATAGTTTTTGAAACCATGATTTCTGATGAAATTTGTCATGTAATTTCACTGTGGTAATCTGGCCCTGAGATCACAGGCCTTTTCACTCATTCCTCCTTGCAAGGCACACCTTAATCTAGAGGATTTGGGTTCCTGTAGCAATTACCTTGTATCCTAATTCAGCTATGGTTCAGCAGACAGTGTGGCTGTGTTGTTTAGCTGAGACCTGTGCAGAGCTGTACTAAAAATGAATATCCTATATTCACTCCTGTCTTATGTAGAGCTTTGGCTCTGACCCCATTCTTTGAGGAGTACTGGTTGCCACTGTGGGTGCTGAGGAGAGAACGGAGCCTGGTCTAATGACTAATGAGGGGAGAGCTGGCTGATTCTCAGGTGTCTTCCCTTGCCATGTCTGGGCTGTCAGCTTTAAAACTCATCAGTGTGCCAAGCACTGTAAGGTTCCAGGGAGCTGGAAGGTGCCAGAGTGGTATCAGAAAGCCCTAGCACACTTGAAGGCCACATGCTGGTTAATTTCTAGACTGAAGGAGATGTTCTTCCTTCATTCTATCTACTCTGAGTGGTGACCCTTTACTAATACTCTGTTCTATAATTGTGTTATAGTTCAGAATTTAGAACTTTAAGAAATGTTATTAGTGTGCCTGTGATGTATGCGTGTGGGCATGTGTATAGGTCAGAGCTTCCATAGCTTGTGGAAGTCAGTTGTTTTCTTCCACCGTGGGTTCCAGGGATGGAACTCAGGTCATCAGGCTTGTGCTTCAGGTACTTTCATCTACTGAGCCATCTCACCAGACCAGGCAGTTAAACATCTTAAAACTACTGAAAAGGATTTACAGTGGTTTAAAACTTTCTTCTGAGATGGAGTCTCATTAGTCAGAATGAGCTCAAACTTGGTTGATAGCCAAGGATGACCTTGAACTTTGGGATACTGGGATTATAGGTGCATGCCTGCATATCTTTTTTTTCAATTTTAAGTAAATATTTGTTCACATTGTTGTTTTCAGAGTGGAGAGATCAACAGACCAAGTCATCAAGCCAGTTAACGTGGGGGCTCTATCCAAGTGGGTTGGGAAGATACCCCCAGATGTTTTACAAGACATGGCAGTGATCGCACCCATGCTTGCCAAACTTGGATATGACCCGTATGCCAACCCCCCTAACTATGGAAAACCTGACCCCAAGATCCTTGAGAACACCAGAAGGGTAAGTGAGATTCTCAAGTCCTCTTTAAGAGCAGCAAGTGCTGTTTAATTTCCAAGCCACTCTCCAGCCCTTATGATGACCATCTTTACACATACTGTATTTTAGGCTTTTCTTTAAGGCTAGACTGATGAAAGTGACATTAAACCAGGTCAAAGTGTCTGAGTTTCTTTAAGGTACTTGATATTTGTTGATATATATATGTATATAAAAAGAACCTTTGCCAGGTGTGGTGGTGCATGCCTTTAGTCCCAGCACTCAGAAGGCAGAGGCAGGTGGATCTCTGTGAGTTCAAGTTCAGCCTGGTTTACATGATTCCAGGACAGCTGGGGCTACAGGGAAACCCTGGCTCAAAAAGACCAAAAAAAAAAAGAACCTTCTCAGCTGGGCATGCTGTCAAACACCTTTAATGCCAACACTCTGTGAGATTAAGGACAGCCTGGTCTAAGTAGTGAGTTCCAGCCCAACTGGGGATACAGGGAGACCGTGTCTCAAAAAGACCCCTCCTCCCAAAAAAAGAAAGAAAAGAAACTTCTGAAATACGAATCAAACAGAAGTGATTATTTATTTATTTATTTATTTATTTATTTTATTTTATTTTATTTTTTGGTCCTTTTGAGACAGGGTCTCCCTATAGCCCCAGCTGTCCTGGAACTCACTATGTAGACCAGGCTGGCCTTGAACTCACAGAGATCCACCTGCTTCTACCTCCCGAGTGCTGGGATTAGAGGCGTGTGCCACCATGCCGGGCCTGAAGTGATCTTTTTTGATTTTTTGCTAATTTTAATAGGTTTCACTGATTAATTGAACATTTTCCAGTTTATTAGCTGCATGAATGCATTTTATGAACTACCTCTTAAGTGTCTAAAAAAGTTCATATATATAAAATTTTGACTACAGTTTGCTAAACAGGAAGTTTATATCTGTCCAGCATCCCACTTCATAGTCCACAACAGTCTCTTTCTCTTCTGCACACAACTGAGAGATTCCTTTTTTGCAAAGTTTAATTTTATTTTTAAATTATGCATATATGTGTGTTTGCACACACGAGTGCAGTGTCCACGGAGACCAGAAGAGGACATTGGATTCTCTGGAGCTGGAGTTACAGGTGGTTGTGAGCTGCCTGACATGGGTGCTGGGAACCAAACTCAGATCCTCTGCAAGAGCAACAAGAGCTTTTAACCACTGATCTATCTGATCAGCCCCTAAGAGGAATTTCCATAAACTGAGATAACGTGTGAGTGATACCTCACAGTTCCCAGGACAGTAGGCACTTAAGTTTTCCCATATGCAAGTTGACTTGGCTGGATTGTTCTTGGCTTTCTTGAGTGGTAGGTTGGGAAGAATGCTGTGGTCTGAATCCATGTGACTTGAGAATTTGTTTCATACACACTTCTGGTTTATAATGACTCCAAGAAGAAAGTATTTTTTCTTCTTCTGTCTGACTCTAAAGTGACAGTTTGAGGAAGAAAAGATTAATTCCATTTTCAAGCCTTTGTTAATAAGTGCATACCACTGACGTTCTTCGATTTTTTAATTTTTTTGCTTATTTTATGATTTATTTTTATTTATGTGTCTATGTATATGTCTGTGTATATGCACATGTGTGCATTGCTCATGGAGGTCAGAAGAGGGCATTGAATTCCCTGGAGCTGAAGTTACAGGTGGTTATGAGCTGCCTGATGTGGGTGCTTGGAACTGAACTTGGGTCTTCTGGAACAGGAGGGAGTGCTTAACTGCTGAGTCATCTTTCCAGCTCCTAAATTTATTTATTTGATGTGTGTGTGATGTGATGCAAATGTGGTGATCAGAGAACAACTTTTGGGTATTGGTTCTGTTTGTTTTTTTTAAAGTGATTGAAAAAAATTATTTCCTGGGTCTGGAAGATGGGAGAGATGGCTCAGTGTTTAAGAGCACTCACTGCTCTTGCAGATGACCCAGATTCTGTTCCCAACACCCACATGGTGGCTAATGGCTGTCTGTAACTCCAGTTCCAGGGGATCTTACACCCTCTTCTGACCTCTGTGGACATTGTACAAATAAAAATTTATTGTTTTTATTTTATGTGTATAAGTGTTTTGCTTGATATAGGTGTGCCCATGTCATGCAATGCATGTGGAGGTGAGAAGAGAGTGTTGGATCCCCTGGAACTAGAGTTATGAATGTTTGTTCGCCTCCATGTGGATGCTGGGAACTGAACCCAGGCTCTTTGCAAGAGCAGCCAATGCTTTTAACTGCTAAGACATCTCTCCAACCCCTAAATAAAGTATTTTTTAAAGATTATTTACATTATTGTGTGTGTGTGCCCCCATGGCGCCATGGCATATGTGTTAAAAACCAGAGGACTGCTTTGTGGAGAGGATTCTTTATTTCACCTTTATTGGGGTCTAGGAATCAAGCTCAGGTTGCTAGGTTTGTGCTGCAAACCATCTGAGCCTGCTGAGGCATCTTGCTGGTCCCTGCCCTTAGTTTTGATTTTTTTTTTTTTTGTCTTGTCTTTTTGAGACAGAGTCTCCCTGTAGCCTCAGCTGGCCTGGAACTTGCCATATAGACAAGACTGGTCTCAATCTTAGAGATCTACCTGCCTCTGTCTCCTGAGTGCTAGTCCCTGTCCTTGTATTTTGAGTTTCATACACTGTCTTACCAGTTAGATGTATTTCAAACCAAAGCCTATATAGCTTCAGAACTTTTCCCCTCTCCCTCTTTATCTCTGCCACTGATGACTCAACTGCTGTACCCAGTACAGATGACCATGAGGTTTCATAATGAAATACTTTCAGAGAGATCTCTGACTGTCACAGATAGCTCCAGAGGGAAAGTGGAAAGTGGCTGAGAAATTGTGCCTTTACTTATGGGAGGAGGAAGGCAAAAAAAACACACACACATTTGACTGGGAATATAGAACCCCAGTCTGTAGGCATAAAAATGCTGCTTTTCATAGAGTTTGGGGAGCCCAACAGTAATGATGGCTGAGTCAGCACATCTCAGGAACATGCTGCCCAGTTCTAAACGAAAGTCATATGTTTTGTGGCTGCCGTGACTCACATGGTAAGTGGAAAACAAGACACTAACGTGTTCCAAGCCTGTTCCCACCAGTCTCTAATCCCCAGATTGTAGCCCATGTTAATAAACAGAGCCTTCTAGATTACATATCAACTTTCCCCCTCCTCCATAGCATCTTAACCTTTTTAGACTTAGGAACTTATTTGAGGATCTGAATCTACAGATCCCTACCTCAGAAACAGAAGCACATACACACACTGAATTTCAGGGGACAAAGATTAAGGACTCCCATTTCCTAGTGTCCTTGATCAGGCTCATTCATATGGCTCTTATTACAGCCTGTTTGCTGGTGACTGTAACTATTTCTCAGTGGGGTCTTTGCTGTTTATCATTTCCAATATCTACCTGGGTGCTCTGAAGACCATTAGATTATATGTACAAAATAAATTTATTGTCCAAAATGGCTTTCTAGGAAGCAGCCAGCAGAATTATTCAGAAATCTGAGTAGGGATCCAAGCTAGGGGTTGGGAATGCAGCTCTGAGTGCCTATGCTTGCAGATAGCAGTGTGCGTTGGGGCACACACTAGCCAATTGCTAGTTAAAGACTTGGTTCCTAAACTTGAAGAATGAGGACTGTGGATGTGCCCCAGTAGTAGAGGACTTTTAGGCCCTGGACTTGAACCCCTGCACTACTGAAAAGTAAAGTAAATTGAACAATGAGCTGAAAAGAAGTTCCAAGCCGGCTTTCGGGGTATAAGCATGTAATCCCAGCACTTAGGAGGTAGAGGCAGATAAATCATCACAAGTGTGAAGCCATGCTGGGCTCCCTGGGGTTCCAGGCCAGCTTGAACTACAGAGTAAGACCCTGTGTCAGGAGATGAAGAAAAGAGGAAAGAAGAGAACACAGAAGGAGTAAAGGGCAAAGAAATTCCAAGAGTGGAATGTATCTTGGAAAACCTGAGCAGATCTTATTGAGAGAACAGGACATAATAGCCACATGGAAAACAGGTACCAGGGTGCAGAACCCACAGTAGCAGACAGGAAGGAACTTGAAGTGAGAGAGGAAGTTGGGTAAGTACCCGAAATGTGCAGTAGGATGCCACAGCAGGGATTGGAGAGAGGGCTTAGCAGGTAAAGCACAAGCCTGACTTGAGTTCAGTCACTGGAAACCAGGGTGGAAGAAGAGAACTGACTCCTGAAAGTAGTCCTCCGGCCTATACTTGCCCACAGTGGGATACATGTACATGCATGTACACACACACACACACACACACATACACACACACACACACACACACACACACGCACACACAAATAAAGTTATAAAGAGAAGCTGCAGCAGTTGAATTACCAGGATTAAAGGTACCAGCTTAGACCCAGGCTCCTGTCCCCAGCGCCCCTACTTGTTTTCCATCTCTCTGCATTGCATCTTTGTTTGCCCAGCCATCCAGGGTAGGATCACCTAGCACTGCAGAGCTCATATAAAATCCTCAGGTAGCTGCACTGTCAGTACAGGATAAAGTGGAGACTTCTTAGAACCACACTTTCTTTTCAAATATTTGGAGATTTTGTAGTTTTCTTTTGACAATTGGTTTTTAATGGTCAGAGTATATATTCTGGTTTCAGTTCTTCATTTTATTTTATTTTAATTAATTAATTAATTAATTAATTTTTTTATTTTTTTGAGACAGGATCTCACTGTGCAGTCATGGCCTGGAACTTGCTATGTAGACTAGACCAACCTTAAGCCCACAGATATATATCCACCTCTGCCTCTAAGTGCTGGCATTAAAGATGTGTGCCACCATACCCAGCTCAATTGTTTAAATGTATTGAAGACTGCTTCATGACCAGCATGTGTCCTCTCATGTTTACTTAAAAAACTGTTCTGCAATTGTGGCATTCTGTCAATACCATAGTATCATTAACTCCAATAATTTTTTTTTTTCAGTCAGGGTCTCACTACTTGCTATCTAGGCCAGACTGACCTGGAACTCATA